TCGCGAGCACAAATCAGATTTGAAACACGGCAGAACTAATTCTTCTGCCGTAGCTGATCACTGTTACAACGCTGTGGGTGATCACGATATAATTTTCTCCGATACCAAGGTTCTTTGCAAACCCACGGGTTTTTATCCGAGATTTGTTCACGAGGCAATTCAGATCTACAAACACTGACACAATTTCAACCAAGAAGATGGTTTCAAATTAAGCAACCATTGGAAAGATGCTCTAAATCGAACCAAACATTAAACTAATTTCCAATGGTACAGTATATTTTTCAAGTAGTGGTACCTCAAACTTTCGCAGCTCTTAAAAATTCCCTTTTCACACCATCAATAGGTAAACTCCCCCTCCCCCCCCTCGCCAACCGGCATGTTCACCCGCATGTACACCACCTCTACACCGTTCATCATGCTAAGTCGGCCAATCAAATGCTAATTTTTATGCTAATTCCTTTGTCAAGGCACCTTGTTTCCTCGCGCACAGATTAAAGGTCGCGGTCTGAGCGTGGCTGTGTTTCACTCCAGCACTGTCCTCGAGACAGCCTGGTCCCTTCACCTGATGAAGGCCGCTTGTGTTGTGGCCGAAACGTCGTGATTTTTGTTGTTTTATTTTTTACCTACGTGACTTTACCGAATAGAACCAAAGAGCATGGATCCTTGCAGTCACGAAAGCTTTAAATCTAGAATATAACGCTTGTTTACCCAGGAAAGCCTGAGTATCGGCATTATTTTTCAGGAGGATTCTACCAAGTTTTTGCAGTCTCGGGTGATGTTTGCAATGGATATTACATTTTATTACATTGACTGTAATATTTAATATTTGGACCATGATGCTGGCACACAAAGGCCTACTCTTATGAATGACATCACATTATCTAGAACGTCCACTGTGAAGACGGCGCGTAGTATTTGCACGACTAATAGACAACTGCAGCAGCACTGATAACCAGAATCAGATAGATTTACATTTCACTGTCCGACGCTAATTCTCACGGTTACAGCACCAAAACAAGAGTCCTGATTGTATTCTTGGTTCTTTCGGTAAAGTCACGTTGAAGGGAAACAATAAAATAATAAAATATATAAAACAATATATATATTTATTGTTTCCCTTCAACGTGACTTTGCCAAAAGAACCAAGAATATGAATCACTGCAGTCACGAAAGCTTTAAATCAAAATTTAGTCCTAATTGTGTCAACTCTTTAACATAACGATGAGACGTGAGAATTAAGTCATAGATGCTGGTGAGGAAGTTAAGGTTAGTCACTGTATTTTTAAGTCTTATCTTAAACTACGCTGGGAAAAAACCTGCATTGTAGATTTGGAAAAAAAAATGTGAATGCAAAAACAGTAGTCCTTCAGTTTAACACGTAGGCTTTCGCAACCAATATTATTCATAAGAAAGGTTTAAGACCGGGAGCAAGTGAGGGCTTTACTATTCTGGCGAATTGCCCGATGATGCTGGATGTAATAACCAGCAAAACGTCGTACTCAAATTTTAAATGATGTTGATTCACTCTTCAACACACCGGTGGGCTAAAGTGGTGAACTATTTGTCATTTGTAAGCGTGACACATTTTTTACTGTTTGGTCGTGTCGGGTGGTGGAGGGTTACGATACATTTATAAATAACGCAATCTAACCCAAAAACCTTTATTATGAACAGTAGTCCTTGAAAAAAAACAACCCAGACAAAAAGTCAGTCTCTCCACGTACAAATAAATTAGTTTGTACATCAGCCTATAAATAGATTTCTGCAGCAATGATTTCGAGGAGGATTTGTTTTGAACTCCAAAACCCTCTGGACACGTTTCCACTTGCAGCACAGTCTCAACAGCATAGTCGGGTCTGTAAACGACAGCTCTTAGGTTTGCGGACGTTACAGACGAGAGCCATCCCCCTCCACGTGGGCCCGCTCAATGCAAAACAAGAACAATGAGTGGTACACCCCCTCGTGGTGGAGGAAACGCGATTGGCACTGCCACTGCGCATGCTGGTGGGGGGGCCAGGAAGCGAGGCGTTGAGAAGAGGGGCAAGCAGAAGCAGTACGAGAGAGCGCGCAGGAGATGGGCCGCCACTATCACCACTGGGGCCATTGAGGGACGCGGCGGTGGAAAGGGTAAAAAGAGGCTCGTAGCGACATCAAATCACAACTTCCTCAATGCACGTGCTACAAGCTGTACAAGCCAGCCGCAGCGCCGTGAAGATGTGGACCGGTTATTTGTCTATCGTGCAAACTTCATAAAAGCCTCAGATTGTGAAACGCACACACTTCAGGTTCAGCTGCGCCGGGAGATGAGCAGCTGCGGTTTGTGCTTGAGTCAGCTTCCCTTCAACTCAAACCCCCTCGGAATCACAACAGATCCTCTCACGTGTCTTTCCTGTCTTGTTTGTAGAAGATTCCCACTTTTTGGTAATTTGGGGAAAAGGCTAGCTACTTATCGTAATAATATAAAAGGAAATATTAACACGTATTTTCGTGTAAACTATTCTTTTTTGAGGCGCCAGTAAAAAAGCAAATTGGGCGATCATGAACCAAAAAAAGCGTCGTTGAAGCTGGTTACAGATTGAGTCGCAAAGTTTAAGATTCTACCTCCTGGTATGAGTTCCCAGGTGGGTTCCAACTCAAATGGCGCACATGGGGGATTGAGGCTCTGATCCACTGGTGAAAATTCTACATTCTCATGGCAGGGGCCAGATTACCCAAACCACAATGACTATTCTTACTCTTTGGTTATTTCGATAAAGTCACGTAGTTAGAAATACAATAAAATAAAACGAATCACAACATTTCGATTGCAACACAAGCAATCATCATCAGGTGGGGAAACCACAGCAAGAAAAAATTGCTGAAGTGGGAGAGAGAACTGCCGTGGCAAGAGGTTATATAGGTAAGGGGGGAGGGGCAAGGGGGGAGAGAGAGGGGAGGGTGTGGGGTAAGGGGAGGGGGGCGCTGCGTGAGCGCTAGGGGGAGAGAGGACGTGAGGCTGGGGGGGGGGAGTGGGCGGGGCTAGAAGTAGGAGGCCGAGAGAGCTGGGGATGCGGGGGGAAATTAACTCTGAAAAATAGACTCGTACCCGGCAGATATGATAGACACGACCATAAAGCAGTTAAGGTTTTACCTGGTTAATAACATCCTTCCAATGATTGCTCAATTTGTATCCATCTTCTCAGTTGAAGTTATGTCTATGTTTATATATCTGGATGGCTTGATGAACAAACCTTTGATAATAGCCTGAAGGTTTGCAGAGTACCTTGGTCTCGGAAAAAACAATATCATGCAAGCCCACAGCGTTATAACAATGGTCAGCTATGGCAGAGGTATTGGTTCTGGCGTGTTTCAGATCTGCCTTGTGTTCGCGGACACGGTTTGAGACATGTCTCTCTCCCACTTCAGCAATTTTTTTCTTGCTGTGGTTTTCCCACCTGATGATGTTTGCTTGTGTTGCAATCGAAACGTCGTGATTTGTTTTATTTTATTTCTAACTACGTGACTTTACCGAAAGAACCAAAGAGTATGGATTCCTGCAGTCACGAAAGCTTCAAATCAACAATGACTATTAACTTAACATAAAATATAATTCACTTTATTGATGAGGGTTCATGAGCTCAGTCAATCCCCAACCAGAAACTGAACTTGCACCTTCCTGTGTGGAGTTTGTATTCTCTCCCTCTGTTCTGCGTGGGTTTCCTCCATGTTCTCCAGTTTCCTCCCATAGCTTAACACATCCAGTGTGACTGGTTTGGGCCAAACATCCCATTGCTGAAAACTGACCTTAAAATATCTCAATTGGATCACACACAGCAGTATTATCGCTTGCGACTGTGAACACTTGGCAGGACCCTCTTGGAAAAAAGTATTGAGACTCATCGAAACTTTCCTGGGTAAACAAGTGCAAGAACAATAATAATCAGATTCATAATAAACGTTTTTGGGTTAGATCGCATTATTTAGAAATGTGTCGTAACCCTCCACCACCCGACATGACCAATCAGTAAAAAATGTGTCACGTTGACAAAAGACAAATAGTTCACTACCAATGATGCTGGATGTAATTACTAGTGAAACGTCATACTCAAAAATTGTAAATGATGTTGATTCACTCTTCAACACACCGGTGGACTAAAGTAGTGAACTATTTGTCTTTTGTCAACGTGACATATTTTTTACTGATTGGCCCTGTCGGGTGGTAGAGGGTTACGACACATTTATAAATAGCGTGATCTAACCCAAAAACGTTTATTATGAATATTGGTTGGGAAAGCCTACGTGTTAAAATACTATTCAGAATTATAAGCTAATTCCTATATCCTGCTGATCTTCTTCTTCCATATGGCTGATGTAGATGTAGAGCAACAACTACAATTTCACATTCAAGTAGACAAGCCTGATAACCACGTCAAGAGCAGCGGAGTCTATCGCTGGAATGTCTCCCTCGTATTTATGGATCGGCCATTGAGTCGTTATACGTTGTATGGTCTGTTTTTGGATTATCACAGTCGCACACTGGAGAGTTTAAAGTGTTCCATATGTGCATCAGGTATCTGCATCTGCCATGGTTTGTGCGGATGCAGTTTAGGATGGACCATGATCTTCATAGAAGATCAAACCCAGGGATCTTCTGCATTGGGTCTGTGCTTATGGAGTTACTTCACAAAGTTGCGAGGAGATAGGTAGGTGGGAAAGTGAGCAATGTGGACACGGCAAACATCTGTGACGAATATCTGAACCGGTCCTGGGCTTCCCTTAGGTCGACTCAGCCTTAAACGAGTACCGAGTGTGGTGTGTAAACATCGCCGCCGGGGAGACAAAGGCGGTCGGGCGTGGTGCTGGCGACCCACCCCCTCATAAGCAGTGCCGGCCTTTATAGGTTGCTACTCGCTAACAGCACTTGCCCCAACAGTCAGGAAAGGCTATATGTGGGATATTTGTCTTTGTGATGTGGGCAAGGAAGCCCAGAGAGCCGCGGTCACAGAGCTGAGCGTGCGTACCATGGCTGCAGCTCGTGCTGGGCCTCGCTGAGCCACAATGGCTCCTGAGATGGCCTTGATCCAGTTGTGCATCTCTTCCGGACTCTCTGTCTGATCACAACACAAACCAAGCGCAGGCATCAAACCGTTGAGTCGTTTTTGTCCATGTATTCATACCAGGAGAAAGACTACATCCTATACTTGTACGCACAACTTTGAGAAGACACATAAGTCAAGTTTTGATTTTAAAAATACTTTTAACGGGTTACGTAACAATTTTATGTGAACCAATTTTTACATGACTGTGAAGAGGAAGTTGCACCTCCGATTAGCACGGTTGGCTACGTACAGTGCAAAAGAAGTTGAACATACATACATATGGTTCAGAATCAAAATCAGAATATTTATACTGGAAGATGTCCAGTAGGGGCGGATCAGAACGTTACAACATCTTACATGATCTAAAAGCTGTGTAATCTCGGAATCCCTTGGTCAGTGTCACGAGTGCACGGCTCTGTGGGACCAGCTAGTAATGTTTTAGATGAAGGGGGCACAAAACTACAACGCGGCCTCACCCACAAACAAATACGGATCGCAACAATGGCTACGCCAGCCTACTATCAAAAGTAAAAGACGCATTCTCGAATCGGACCGTCGCCACGCGTCAGAGTAACCGTGGGGTGGCGAGGGGGCGACACGCTGCCCGTGCTCGCGCTCGCGGCCCTCGCCACGGCTCCGTGGCTGCGGCCTGAACAGGCGGCAGTGAAGGGAGCGCCAGGGGCACCGCGGCCGTGGCAGTGACGACGACTCACTTGGATGTAGAAAATCCTGTTGGTTGTGACGATTTCAAACAAGTTATCTCTCCTGAGTATTTCCCTGCACACGGAAAAACACATACATTGATTAGTGGTATTTATAACATTAAAGGCCAGTTATATTTAGAAGTAATAGTTACATTTTTGTATGTAAACCTGATTTATTGTGTTTTTGATGTTTAGGTTATACCACTTTGCACTGCTCAGCTTCCCTGCTATACCTGTTCCTAAGCCAGGTCTCCTGTACCTCAGCGAGGTCTCATCGCGTCACATTTACATGACTTCATTACTTCAGAGAGTTGGGGTCGCTGTGTCACTTTGGTGAATTAATTTAAGTTTTACTTTCAATTCATGTCAAAGAAAGTCAGTGTACAGGCCGAGTTAACCGATGTTAGAGGGGAGTACAATGATTACAGGGAGAACAGTGAAGCAAACTGAGGGGTGGGGGGCACATTACATTAGGGGGAGACAAAGACCCCCCCCATGTAGCCCACACAGGCTGTTTGGGCAAGTGCTATTAGCGAGTACCTATGAAGGCAAGCATGGCACACAAGGAGATGGGTAGCCAGTACCATGCCCACATTTGTTTCCTTAGTGGTGATGTTTACATATTGAACCAGGTACTAATTTGAGGCCGAGTCGACTTAAGAGAGGCCCAGGACTAGTTTGGATAATTGTCACTGGAGTTATTCGGGAGTGGGAATCGAACTCAGGTAGTCGGGTCCATAGCAAAGTGCGTTAACCGTGACACTACTGCTGCCCATACACACACACGTAAACACAGACACAGATTACACACGCACACAAGAAATCACAGACACATCACATACACAAGTAAACACAAACACACATTACATACACACGCAAGGAAACACAGACACACATCACATCTACACACAAGTAAACAGACACAAAAAGCCATACAAAAATAAAAAGAGATCCCACCAACAGCTTCGTCATTAAAACCAACAAAATCATTTGTGATTCAACCGCATTAATTGATCAAACCAAACAGTTCTCGTTGAAACCTTCTGCGGCCAGGACACCAAGATGATATAGCTTACCAAAGATACATAAAGAAGATACACCCCTTCGTCCCATAGTCTCTTCTATCAACTCCTCCACCTACAAACTGGTTCGTTTTTTGTCTGAAATCCTGCGGCCTTTCACTGGAAAACCCACCTCTGCGGTACTAAACTCTACTCACCTGGTATCGACAATCAAGGGTATTTCCCTGTCCCCAGACGACCTGCTTGTCAGTATGGATGTGGTTTCCTTATTCACCAAAGTTCCTGTACCTGACACCATCGCAATCATTGAAGACTTGGTTCATCAAGGACTGAATACTGAGGTACCCCCCCTGGTGAGACACTGCTTCACCAATACATACTTCACCTGGAATGGAACTTTCTACAAACAAACTGAGGGCACCCCAATGGGCTCCCCCTTATCTCCGGTTGTAGCCAACATTTTCATGGAGAAATTTGAGACTGACGCCATCCAGACTGCCACTCTACGCCCGACCTTAAGGAAGAGGTACATGGATGACACTTGTCATTTGGCCACATGGCCGGCCTGCTCTTGACCAAATCCTCGACCACATCAATTCCATACACCAAGCCATCAGATTCACCATGGAAGTCAAAAAAATGGCAAGCTACCCCTTTTGGATGTCCTAATAAAAAAGAGACCTGATGGTTCAATGAGCCACTGTCTACAGGAAAGCTACACATACGGATGCTTACCTAAAACCGGATTCCAACCACCATCCATCCCAGAAGAATTCCCTCATCAAGACTCTACACCATAGAGCCCAATGCATCTCCGACCAGGCACACATTGCCAGTGAACTCAAGCAGGTACACCAAGCTCTCAAGGCTAATGGTTACTCCGACTACACAATCCGCAAAGTCATCACTTCAACCATGAAGAAGGATCCTCTTGAGCTATTCAAAACCATCACCTTACCCTACATTGCGGGGGTCAAAAAAAACATCTCCAAAATTCTGAATAAACACAAGGTCCAAGTCCGATTCAACACAGTACATAAAGTTCGTGATCTGGTCCCGTCTGCAAAAGATGTGATTCCAGACATACAGTACCCTGGCGTCTACAAACTAAGTTGCCTCTGTGGTAGCAGTTACATTGGGGAAACCAAACGACATGTCTCGGACCGCATCCGTGAACACAAAGCAGACCTGAAACACGGTAGGACCAACACATCAGCCGTGGCAGACCATTGTTCTAATTCAGTGGGCTCAAATGACATTGACTTCTCCAAGACAGAGGTTCTCTGCAAGCCATCCGGCTACCATGAGAGATTCGTTCATGAGGCCATCCGCATATGCAAACACAGAGACAATTTCAACCGAGAAGATGGATTCTGGCCCAGCAATCATTGGATGGACGTGATCAACCATTTTGGGTCTTGATTGATTGTGTTCACGTTTACGGTGACTTTCAGACCACATTCCATTCGCTGGCATTGACTATATAGCTTTTGTATTCTCTTCACGGATCGGAGTCTTTGCTCCGCTGCAAGTTTCCTGCTACCACTCTCCCATTGACATATTTCTTTGCTTCCTCTTAGTACCTTTCACGTGACGGTCAATGGTATGGTGTATAGTAGATTGTATAATAGTGTAATATTTAATAGAATGTATAAGGTAATATATAGTATCGTAATTGTATAGTCAATATACAGCAGTGTGGTATACAGTAGGGTTTGTAGAATAATACATAGTGTAATATTACAATGTATAGTCTAAGGCAAGGGTCACCAAACTACGGCCCACGGGCCGAATCCGGCCCGCGACGTCAGTCCATCAGGCCCGCCGACGGTACTTGAATTTGGTTGATAAAACGTATGGAACACGAGACGTTGTGATACAATTTAAAGTTTATGTTTAGAATACTAGGAGATCTTCACGCGTGCGGAGACCTCCTGACTGCTATGTGCCTTAAATTTACTATTTTAAATTATTGTATCTAGATTTTCTTGTTTATTGTAATGCTTTCTTATTTCGCGCCATCCCAAGTCCTTCCCCGGCTCGTGGTAGCTCCGCCTACGCTCTGACGTTACCACGGTTTCCATGGCAACACACACAAACACGCATCTTTCCCGCCCCCAGATTTTCTGGCTGTCAACACAGGTCCGGACGCTCCAGAAATATTTACTTCTTTTTGCCTGTCATCCATTTTATAGCTATGTAACAAGGATTTCTTTGTTTGACAGTGATAGGTAAGTGAACTACAAGTGTGATTAGAGGTCATAAAGTAACAAACATAGAATAACAAGGCCATAGAAGCCTCGTGTTATTACGAAAATATTATCCCCAGCTCAGAAAAATTCCCCGGTTAAGGTGTTAATCGAGCTGGTCTCTAGGCTGTTTATTTAGACCCGCCCTATTTATATATTTTGTAAACCTTATTATGTGATATATTCTATTACCAAAGGTACCTATAAACTTTATATGTGCCTTTGGTGAGCTGTAGCTTCACCAGTGACCCCTGAATCCTCTGCTTTTCTTGTGTTTCAATAGGAAACAATTCAATGTCTTTTTCATTTTCAGATCCCGTTTTCTTCACCCTTCATTATGGCTACTAAGAAAAGAAAAGTGGACGCCGAGTGTCGCGTTTTCAATGAAGAATGGGGAGTAAAGTACTTCTTTGTGGAAACAAAGGACCAGAAAGCTAGTTGCGTAACATGCCGCGAAAGTGTTGCCGTTTTGAAAGAGTACAATCTTCGGCGTCACTATGAAACAAAACATCTATCAACATTTTGATTTAAAGCTTTCGTGACTGCAGTAATTCATATTCTTAGTTTTTTCGGTAAAGTCACGTTGAAGAGAAACAACAAAATAACAAAATATATATAAAACAATAAAAAATTCTCACGACGTTTCGACCATAACTCAAACGGTCATCATCAGGTGTGTCGGTTTGCATAAATTTATTTTGAAAACGGCATATTTATTTATATATATAAAAATAACGTTTGCGTCACGCGCAACGATGGCAGTTTGCCAGGACTAGTCCATCTATTTTTTGAAAAGAGGAGGGGGGAGACGAAATTTGTTTTTATGTAAGCTGTCTGAAAGGCACTGTAAGCGTGAACAATCAATCAAGAACTGAAATGATTTATCAAATCTTTCCAATGATTGCTAAGATAGAATCCATCTTCTCGGTTGAAATTGTCTCTGTGTTTGTATATGTGGATAGCCTCATGAACGAATCTCTCATGGAAGCCAGATGGCTTACAAAGAACCTCCGTCTTGGAAAAGTCAATGGCATGTGAGCCTACTGAATTAGAACAATGATCTGCTACGGCCGAGGTGTTGGTCCTACCGTGTTTAAGGTCTGCTTTATGTTCACGAATGCGGTCCGAGATATGGCGTTTGGTTTCTCCAATGTAACTACTACCACAGAGGCAACTTAGTTTGTAGACACCAGGGTATTGTATGTCCGGAATCACATCTTTTACAGACGGAACCAGATCACGGATTTTATGTAATGTGTTGAAACGGACCTGGATCTTGTGTTTATTCAAGATTTTGGAGATCTTTTTTGTGATCCCAGCAATGTAGGGTAAAGTGATGGTTTTGAAAGGCTCCTCAAGAGGGTTCTTCTTCATGGTTTGAGTGATAGCTTTGCGGATTGTATAGTCGGAGTAACCATTAGCCCTAAGAGCTTGGTGTACGTGCTTGAGTTCACTGCTTATGTGTTCCTGGTCGGATATGCATTGGGCTCTATGATACAGAGTCTTGATGAGAGAATTCTTCTGTGATGGATGGTGGTGGGAATCCGGTTTCAGATAAGCATCCGTATGGGTAGCTTTCCTGTAGACAGAGTGGCTCATTGAACCATCAGGTCTCTTTTTAATTAGGACATCCAAAAAAGGTATCTTGCCATCTATTTCGACTTCCATGGTAAATCTGATGGCTGGGTGTATGGAATTGATGTGGTCGAAGAATTTGTCTAGAGCAGGCCGGCCATGTGGCCAGATGACAAAAGTGTCATCCACGTACCTCTTCCATAAGGTTGGGCGCAGAGTGGCAGTCT